TGACTTTAATTAGTTCAACAGCCATCCGGACGTCTCTCATCAAGCTGAGATAATGAGATGTCGCGTCTGGCGGCTGATGAGCGTCAGTTATTTCACAGCGCGTTCAGAGCACCATAAAAACCCTCCAACCACCTGACAGACTGGCAGCTTCTCTTAAAAACTCGTTCTGAAATGAAAAAACTTCAAAACCGATCAGTTTCCCGCCCACGTCCAGGGAAAGAGTTGGCCGAACGCCACATGTCCCGGCCTGCCCTAATGGCCGAGCAGCTCGTCCCTCGCGCCGGGCACCGGTCATCCCCGGTTACCTGCTGACGCTCCCCCGGATACACAGCTGCCTCGCGGCCGCGCGCGCGACGGGGGTCACGTGACCGAAGAGCGGGCGCCCGCGACGGGCGCGGGGACAGCCTCTGAGCGGCGGCGGGTTCGTGCCCGAGCCCATTACGGCCGACACTCGTGCGCCGTCGGCGGCGCCGCGCTCCCCGGAGCATGCCGTGGCGCCTGCCGCCTCGCCGCGGGTCCTGTGGAGCGGACCGCTTCCGCTCGCCGACGTCCCACGCCGGGGCGCCACGGCGCCGCCCCTCGCCGGCCCCCCTCGCCGGCCGGCCGCTGAAAAGACGCGCGGCGCCGGGCGAGCGCCGACCGCAGAGGCCCGGAGTGGTGTCGCCGCACAATGCCGACACGCCGGCTCAGTGGCGGCCGAGTGGGGCGGCCAGCCCCCATCTGTCGCGCGGCCGGTGCGGGCAGGGCCGGGCCTTTGTGCGGCCGGCTGGCCGGCGACGGCCGTGTCCGATGCGGCCGAGAGACCCGCTAACTCGCCCGGGTGTGCGCCGTGGTTAGCCAGACTGAGCCGCCGCGCCCCGCACACGGGCAGCTGTCGTGCAGTCGCTTGCCGTGCGGCATCAAATTTCCGACCATAAAACAGCCTGGCCTAATTTTGTGTCTAATCTGCGGTTAAATTGGTTACCGGACCCCCGTTCCTGCATAGTTACGTCGACGAGTTATGCTCGACGGCCTAATTGCACGACCAGTGAGAACGGGACATATTAATCCGCAGTGAAATAGATCATGAGCTACGCAAAATTGCCTTCCTTCGCGCGACTCGGCCGCCGGGCTCGGGCATTACGGCCGACTGTGCGCGACACTCACCTGCGCCCCGTACTCAGCACGCTAATTTATGTCCGTCGTCCTGCGCCGCGCCCACCTCTTTCCCATACGTGGTTGGCCCGCGTACGCTGCAGGCCGGTGATTAACGCTGGTTGCGTAGCCGCAGGTGTAACGGCTGCGTGACGGACGGCGAGGGGTGACGCAGGCGTCGCGGCGCGGGGAGGCGGGAGGAGCCGGTGTCGGGGCGGAGACGAGTGTCGCCACGGACGGGCCGCGCTGCTCAGACGGCGGCCGAGCTCCAGTTTTTCCTTCAGATATGCCGGAATCAAGGTCGTGTCGATGAGAATCCGGTTCAGAAACGCGTAAGGGTAGCACTGAGGCTAACGAATCGCGCCGAGTGCTGGCACCAAACAGATCCTTTGTCGCGAGTTTGGTCCAGCTGGCGTGTCAGTCTCGTTTCGCTGAGGTTGCGACGTCTCGACACGGCAGTCTGCGGAATGTGTCATCGAAGATGGCTGAGGCCGTACGGGCACCGACATATCCAGGCGTGGGCGCTCATCGTGGCATGTATCCCCGGTTAGCCTTTGCGGGCCTGCAGCCTGCTCGGCTGTGTAGGTCGGACCGAAGCGGGGCACACGGCCCGGCCCGTGTCACGGCCCATGATATGTATTCTGACACCTGACACAGCCCGTGTGATGTCTTCCCGGTTAGTCAGTCTCTGCGAGTCTGCGGACTGCTCGGCTCGGTAGGTCGGACCGGAGCAGTGCGCTCGGCTCGACGTCCTGGCCACGTAGCTGAACCGAATCACAGGCCCATCCCACTGCTGGGAATACGGGTGGCTCTAAATCCGATTGACGTGGCTTGCACGCCGCCCAGTCCAGGTGGCCCCGAGCGGGTCTGCACTGATGCGGGCACGGAAGTTGTATTTGCAATCGTCCAATAAGTGAACGCAAAGGTAAACGTCGCCGTCTAGTCCACGACACCACGCTGCCATACAGCGCGGCGCCATGCCATGTTTCCCAACTTCATTCCCTTTCCCACCTCGAGAAAGCTATGAAGTCATCCGCTATCAGTTGGCGCCATGTCCAGAGCTTCCGAGCCGCGGTCGCCTCGGCGCAGTCGGGATGATCTCCGCGGTCACCTCGGCGCAGTCGGGCTGATCTCCGCGGCCGCCTCGGCACAGTCGGCTGATCTCTGCGGTCGCCTCGGCGCAGTCGGGCTGACCTCCGCGGTCGCCTCGGCGCAGTCGGGCTGATCTCCGCGGTCGCCCGGCGCAGTCGGCTGATCTCCGCGGTCGCCTCGGCGGTCGGGCTGATCTCCGCCGTCGCCTCGGCGCAGTCGGGCTGATCTCCGGTCGCCCGGGCAGTCCGCTGATCCGCGGTCGCCTCGGCACAGTCGGGCTGATCTCCGCGGTCGCCTCGGCGCAGTCGGGCTGATCTCCGCCGTCGCCTCGGCGCAGTCGGGCTGATCTCCGGTCGCCTCGGCACAGTCGGGCTGATCTCCGCGGTCGCCCGGCGCAGTCGGGCTGGTCTCCGCGGTCGCCCGGCGCAGTCGACTGATCTCCGCGGTCGCCTCGGCGCAGTCGGGCTGATCTCCGCGGTCGCCCTCGGCGCAGTCGGGCTCTCCGCGGTCGCTGAATCTCCGGTCGCCTCGGCGCAGTTCGTGCTGATCTCGCGCCGAGGGTCGCCTCGGCGCGGATCCGGCTGAATCTTCCGCGGCCGGCGCTACCTCGGAGAGAGCCGGCCGGGACAGGTGCGCGTTCCGCCCGTCTGGGTCCCGCGGGCGGCGGTGTGACCAGCTGCCGCCCGGCCGGACCCGTCCGGAGACGGCCCCTCGCGCCGGGGCCGACCGGCCAGGGGCAGGTGGTGGGCCCGCGCGCCGGTCCAGCTGATATGCAGTCCGCAGGCCTCGGGCCGGCCCGGCGCGCTCGCCGTCGAGGCTGACCCGGCCGCGGCGGCCGCGGGCGCCAGCAAGCGAGACCGGCAGCTGCCGCCCGGCCCCGATGGCGCCGACCCTCGCAACACGGCGGGCCCGCCGACAACACCGCCCGCGACCCGGACGGGACACGCGCGGAGCGGCCGTCCCGACCGGCGGAGGCAGTGACGTGTTGGGCTGTCACGGGGGAGGGTGCGCGTTACCGCCGCGCCTGGCTGGCTGACCTTGTGCGGGCTCGCCCCAGACGGCGGAACGACTGGACAACGCGCAGCGCAACATGCCTGCCGCAGCCATAGATGAGCGATTATTGATATGGACGAGATTTTCCATATGGGGTAATAGGAACGTTTGATGGCATTGTCGAACCCCCGAAATTCAAGTTGCATCTTCAATGCATCATGTACTTGAACTGAAATTTTTGGTCACTGCCATACCCGCGTAATTGATGCCAAAACTGATGAAAAAGGCTCACAAAAGGAAAATTTTGTGTCGTTACCCATCTCAACAGCGGCGGTCGACCTCTGGGATTCACTCGACTGGGCCTCTACCTCTGGAACGCCCGACATGCAAACCGAAGGAACCATAAGGTGGCTCCATGGCAGGTGCGGGTCCATCCCGCCGGCGGCCTGTTTACGCCAAACGTGGCCAAAAGCCCTGCGGGTTGCGGCTGATCAGGCTGCCAGAGCCGCTTTGAGCGAACCTGGCGGCGCAGAAAGACCCGAGCGCCCGCATTGTGGCGACCACAAAGCGGAGGGCTGGAATTCGGGTGTTTGGAGGTGGGGATTCTGGATCACGCTGGGTCCCCCGATTGGGCCACAAGGAGGGCTTCGAGGGCGCTGGAATTGGCCTGTGATTGAGCAAGCGTTCGGAACCAAGCGGGAAAACCACTCCACTGGGACAGCACCGCGCGAATGACGCCGGCTCGGAAGGAGCGACTGACGGCGGAGGAATGCCAGTCTCGCAAAGTTGCTTGGAGCCACAGCCAGACGTCCGCAGCTGCCGTTCCACCCGGTCAATACAAACAGGCTCAACAATGGCCTTTCACTTAGGACGGCCGGGCGGGGTTGGGCCCAGTAGGTCCGAAATTGTCCGCGGCCGGCCAGGCGCCGGCAGCTGAGTCCACACACCTTTGTGGCAGCGCGCGGACCCTGGCCGTCCCGGCTGCTCCCTATCGCAGCGCAAACAGTCTCACATCCTAACCAAACACGGGCTGAGAAAGACGGAGGTGCCACTCGCCGGGCCGGCCGTGCAGCGAGCGGCGGTGATTGGCGCCCGCCTGGCGGACGGCGGCGGGTTTGAACAGACTTCGCCCCGAGGCCACCCGTCTGCCAGCGGGGACGGCTGCCAGGCGGTGGGAGGAGGAGGAGGAGGAGAACGGTAATGATGATGGCGACTGGGGTGTGCCGCATCCACCGGGAAATGCTTTGTTTTTTGGAGGCGAGCATGCTAGGGGTACGTGGCGCCTCGCCGTTAGGTGCCGGGCGGGCTTCCGTCGAAGAAGAAAATCATTGCCGATCGCTCACAGCTGTAATTAACGACATGCTAGCGTTTGATGCATATCAGCGTCTCATAAGTGATTATAGGTGCTGAAGCCGCCTTGATGCCGAAGCCGCCTCAAACCCAAGTAATCAACAGCTGCGACACATTACAGCACTATTTTCTGGCATACCACACCGGGAAAAAGTGCCGTGAACGTGAATGTGCAGATATAAATAGTGCAGAGTGTATGAGAGCTTTACAAGTGGTGGTAGCAAAACATCCATGCGTTCGCTCAAGTGGAGTGCACGTTCTGTTTGTCGTGGGATTTGCCGATATCGTATCTTATCAAGCAGACTCGCGCACAACCAACCCTGTATTGGACACAGGGCTCAAGTCATCCAGGCAGACTGCATGTTCACCGGTCTGCAATGTCGACTGTGTCCGCCCCGAGCCCCAGACTTGACTGGCTCCCTCCCCCGCAGGTGGCGACACTGCGGAAAGAGCTGCTCCTCTCGCCTGCACCCAGCGCGACCGCCGCTTTGCCCCGCCACCACCGGCGGCGCCACCATCGCCGCCACAGGGGGCACGGCAGCGGCGGCCCGTTCCAACTGCACGCGCTCGAGCACGTGGTGGACGTCATCTACCGACAGCAGCTGCGGCTGGACGGCGAGCTGCGCGAGGCGCGCCGCAACGTGACGTCACAGCGCGAGCGGCAGCAGGCGACGGAGCGGCGTCAGGAGGAGCTGGCCGACCGGCTGGAGCAGGGCGAGCGCGCCCGACAGGAGCTAAGCTGGCAGCTTAACGTCACCGCCGGGTACGTGCTGCTGCACACGGCGCCTCTGCGGCGGCGTGGCGTCTCGCCGGAACCGGCACGGAAGGGCCCAGCAGATTTACAGCGCTGTGTGGCCTGTTGCACAGGAGCTTCGCCATCTGTCGGCAGCTGACTTGATTAATGCGTTTGTTGTTGCGGTTTGCCCTCGCGAGAGGTCAGCAGTTAATTTAGCTGCTGCATAAAACGCGTGTGGTGTTCTGTTTAGCACAGAGGCCAGAGGCGCAGTGGTGGAGTGGGCATAACTCCTGCCGTGTCCGTCCTAACCGGCCGCCCCGTCCCGAGCAGACGGGACACGATGCGGGACATCCAGACATCGACGCAGCAGCTGGTGCGGGAGGTGGAGGAGCTGGAGACCAAGCTGGACAGCCGGGTGGTGGAGATGCGCCACGACCTGGCGCGTCTCGATGTGAGCTACGACCAGCTGAACTCGGCTGTCCAGCAGGTCAAGGACGAGTACAAGGAGGTGCCGTCGCTGCGGAACAAGGTAGGTCAGGGCCAGGTCACCGAGAACAACTAGCATTGCTCATTGACATCTAGAATATACATGTATATATTCTTTCTAAATTATTGAAAAAATGCCGTCGTACACGTTCGACTGTTATATATATCTAGTACGGTAGATATCACGATCACGACCGCGGTCACGATACAAATGATTCAATACGGTGCAGCGTCAGTAGTCACACCGCAGGACCAGATTATATTACAATTGGTGTATCGTATTCCTTAGGCATTTATTACCACGAAGTGCGGGGCTTTTCCTTTCATGGGACTTAACGGCCTCTGCTTGCTCACTTTGGGGTGGACACTGTTACCGATACCGTCACCTTTTCCTGGCCGCACCGTCACACTGCCGCCCATGCCCTGCCGTCGTTGACCGCACGCCGTCCGCCAGGTGAAGCAGCAGCTGGCGACGCTGACGGAGCGGCAGGAGCTGGACCGCACCAGCCTGCTGACGCTGCAGAGTGACATGCTGTCGTACGCGCTCGACTGCTGCCGGCCGGCGGCGGGCGCCGGCGCGCCAGACGCCGCCCGGGGCGTCGGCGGCCGGGAGGCGTGAGACTGCCGCCGCGCCGCTTCCAGTGCCAGGGATGGTGTCACGGACGCAGCTCTGCTAGTCATCGTGTCAATTTGTGTGATCGCTGTACATACATAGGTGCTCATTGTCATATGCGAATCGAGGAAGATCAAAGCGGTTGTGACGTCGGAGATTGTGCACCATTGCCGTCTGTATGTGTGATCGCAGCCACAGGCGGCGCGGTAACCGACTGACGGCATTTGCGATGCGTGCGTGCGACTGCGGAACGTTTGTGATTAGGGATAAGATTTACTTACATGGGCGCTTGATCACATCTGCGTTGAAGTGTCGTGAGATGCCGCAGCGGCTTCACATATTTCTTGAGCTTGAGATAATGCGCCAGCCTTACTTTGATTTGATCCTGAGAGCGTAAATCAGTGCGCACGATTATAAACCGTCGCGCGAGCCAAGACCGACAGACGCAGCGCGTCTCTTTCTTAATTACTGACTATGCCTGACAGGCGCGAAATGCATGAGTGTGAATAATGTCGACGCATAGGACCGGACCTCTCGTTTTACCAATGTGTTCCGGGTGGTTTCCAGGGCAGGGCGTGCTCAACTACGGTCTCAAGGCAACGCAAATCGTAGAACGATGCCATATGGAGTCCGCGTTGAGTGATGACTGGTCGTAATAATCGATGTCAATACATATTTTTGAGAGCGACAGAATTGCTCCCACTCGTGCATTGGCCAAGCACTCACTCGCGGCTAGCTATCTTGAGGAGACGCGGGCTTTAACCGACTGATGACGTCATGATGTCACACGCCGCGCTGGCACGTCAGACTGGCCGACATTGGGGACCGGCGGGCCGCAACAGACTTCGCGCACGGCGTCGCACTCATGAGAATACGATGCATCTTCTGCGCACTATAGCCATTGTCCTGGCACAAGCCAATGGCGCACCCCATGCTGGCTGCTGGAGCGGAACGGGTGGACTTGCAGCGCATGTTCGCGCAGTGCGATTGGCGGTTTGAGCCGTGCGCGCCAGATCGTCACAAACTGGCCGAAGCAGAGCCCGTTTCACACGAATACTATCCGACGTCCAGGCTACACACGGTGCCGGCGCCGGCTGCGCCACCACACAGACGGAACCGTACGGTAGTTCTCTGTATTGAGTGACGGCAATTGGGATCCAGTGATAAATACGCTAGTTACGACGCCTTTGATGCACGAGCACACACACACATACATACACGGACGAAATGCACACGGAGCGCGGGGCGCCGGTCCTGTTGCCGATCAGGAGACGCCCGACGCGGCGCCGCACTCCTGTTGGCCCAGCTGACCTGCGTCGAAACGGCGCAGACTGCGGCCCATACGGCACTGCGAGGAGAAGGAGAGCGGGGGGGGGGGGGGGGAGGCGCACAGGCACGGCTCAACACTGATGACGCCACAGGGCGGCGGCGAGACGAAGCTGGCGGCAGCGGCGCCGGACCGGCAGCGGGCGCGGCAGAGGCGCTCCCCGCGCCGTCCTCGGGGCAGGGCGGTCACAGAGAAGCTCTCACGGAAGCCAGCCGCAGCAGCTGGCCGTCTGCCCGCGGCCGGACGTCCCCTTTGAGAGGGGTCCCAGTCCCGGCACTGCCGTCCGGTCCGCCGGCGCGGCGCCACGCTCTGCGACGCCGACACAGCGTCGGGCGGCGCAGGGGTCCGGTGGCTGCAGTGCCAGGCGGCAGACACAGCGCACAGATCTCCACCGCCGAAGAACACGCATGCTGCATTGGCTGACTGGAGAGCCAGCTCCGACGATGCAGCCGAAATTATGACGCATCTTGTCCTGAACATGGCATCATCATGCCACCCTATCACGGTGTACTAAAATATTTGCATAAGATATCAGCAGTTGTCATTTTTTCCTGGATTGATTACTTACTCAAGGAGCTCAAATTGAGCTAGACGCGACAAATGCCTTTTTCTCGCTCTGGAACCACAGTGACACACAGCGCAGAAAACAGCTGAGATTTGCTTGACCTGCCACAAAAGGCCAGAGTAAAACTGGAGGACACATTCATTCTAGTCATCGTCTAACACTCACTCTATCATGGCATGACTCACCGAGCGCAGTTTGGCAATACTTGGTTTGCACTTAATATCTACCGAGAAGCTCCGCTTCAGAACAGCGAGGACGAGACTTAGGATAGGCTAGGCATAGAAAGAAAAGAAAGGGGGCTCTAAGATGGTCGCAGTGTCACATAGTCCGTAAATCAGGAGGCGAAACCCGCCCAGCGGCGAGAGGCTCACGAGAACAACATTCCTGTACTTCGTCGCCGCAGAGCCGGACTCTGACAGACGACCCCCGCGTCCAGCCGGGGGCGCGGAGGCCGCCGATACCGCTGCACTTGGGGCTGCTCGCCTCTCCGCCATCTGACAGCGGCCCGCGACGCCTCCGCCCCTCCCCACCGGGATATGACACACCACCAGACGGTCCCAGGTACCGCCGGCTGCGTCGTGAAAAAGAACACAGCCTTCTGAACATGGAACCACCGCCGGCCAGCCCAGTGCCAGTCCTCCGTACACAAATCGCCGTTCCTACCAAAACGCAAACGTACATAATCTCCTCAGGGCGAGGAGTTCAACATAAACGGCGACCACCAGAGTCGGCAAGTAAAGTTAAGAATCCACAAAAAAACTAAACACATACAACACGGCGGGAAAATGGAACTACAATCCCTCGTTCACTGGCACGGGGCTAAGAAGTCGGCGTCCACCGACCTCGATGATTACGCGACGTATGCCGACGACTAAATGAACGACCGCAGCGCGATGGGGGCGGGGGGAGGGGAGTCGTCACTCTGGCTCGAATGTAGCGCGGCGCGGCCGCGCGCCACCGACGGAGCCACTGGCGCCCACGGGGCCAGCGAGAAGCTGGCAACTTACCGCCAGCCAAGACACGCCAGAACGCCGGAACCAAAACGCTCCAGTCCTCAAGCGTCGAAAATAATCGCCATCCGCGCCGAAAACCTTCCCGCGCCGACACTGACAATAATCTCGCGGTCCAAAATAGAGCGTTGCTTCGTTGGGAGCCCAGTAGCGCGTGGCGGGCCGCCGCAGCCGGCGGGAGCGCTGGCGGCGTCGCCTCAGCGCTCGGCGTGGATCTGCAGGTAAGCGGTGGGCACGAAGCCTTCCTCGAGGCTGTGCTGGCGCCGCACCCGCGTCCAGCCGTCGCCCTGGTCCAGCTCGATCACCAGCAGCTGCTCGCCCTCCTCCATGGGGATCGAACCCTCGCTCGATGCTGTCGGCGGAAGGCGCCGACGTCAGGTCAGCCGCCACAGGACCGCTGATGGCACGGCGCGTGTGTGACCGATGATAATGGGGACCGGGTGATATGTGATATGTGACCGGATGATAATGGGGAGCAGCAGCAGCGGCCCGGCACGCCACGACAGGGTGGCTTGCGCAGTGTACGTGAAGTTGAAATATTACCACGTCGATGGCTGCATTTCCAGCCGCCGGTCCATAACCACACGCGGTTACGGCTGCACAAACGGAACAAAACCACACTCTGGATGACGCAAAAGCAAGAGGCGGTAGGTTATTTCTAGCTGACATTACGACAGCCCTGCGTCAGTGCACCGCAGGTGAATGCCACCAAAGCAGGAGCCTAGTCACTCAGCAGTCACCAAAAAACAGCACAGACACTCGGCGCCAAAACGGCCCCGCACCGAGCCTGCGGTCCGCGCGACCCGGCCTGTCCCGAGCCGGCCGGTCAGTGCGGGTCATAAGGGGTCAGGCATCGGCCGGCCGGCCAAGCGTCCGGCGGCGGGCGAGCCGCGGCCACACGCACGCCACCGCACACGGGCGCCAGCCGCCGGCTCCAGGCTCCACCTTGAAAGGGGAAGAGGGCGCGCGCGTCGGCGACGGGCGGCAGCGGCCGGCGCGCGATGTAGCCGCCACCGGGAGCGTCGGTGGCGCCCTCTGGTGGCGGCGACCCGTCTGTCGGAAGCCGGCGCCGTGAACCGCCGCCCTCTGCCGGCGAAGACGTGGGCCGTCCGGCGCCCCTCCCCTGCGCCCGGTCTCCAGCCGCCGAGCAGCTGCCCATGGCGGCCCGAGCGGCCCACCGGCCCATCGGAGACTGGCCCGGCCCCGTCACCCGCCTCCCACCCAGCGGATCACCGCCAGCCGCGGCCGGCCTCACCGCGACAGCCTGACCCGTTCCCTGCGGCAGGGCGGCCAGCATCAGGCTCTCCTCCCGAGCCTCCGAGCACCGAGGCACCGCCCGCCGACACCGCCCAGCCCTCCCGGCCGACTCACCCTCGAACGGGTAGAGGGCGGTGGCGGGGGCCAGCACGGGCAGCGGCTCGTCGAAGCCGGGCTCGGCGTCCGCGTCGACGTCCATGGGGTCGCGGCCGTCCGTCTGGTTGCGTTCCTCGCCTTCCGAGTCCGAGCCCGGCAGCGATGTGTGCGACGGGCCCAGACCCGACTCCGGACTGTTGGACGAGCTGGCGGGAGGTGGGGCGGGGGTTAAACCAGGTCACTGGGGGAGTGCTCAGACCCGACTTCCGACTGTTGGACGAGCTGGCGGGAGGTGGGGCGGGGTCAAACCAGGTCACTGGGGGAGTGCCCAGGCCCGACTTCGGACTGTCGGACGAGCTGGCGGGAGGTGGGGCGGGGGTCAAACCAGGTCACTGGGACGCGAAACCCAGGTCGACCTTGGTGTAACATCACCACGGAACATTCACACAGGGCTGATACTAGCTAGCAGGCATCCAGGCCAGGTAGGCGACACACTTGGAAGTCTAAGACTGCCTACCCTCTTTGAAGTACAGCTGAAAAACACCATACACAGCTAACACTGTCCATGGTAACTAAAACAATCATGTTGAGGTTGCGAAGACGAGCTGTACGCCACGGCCAGCAGGGTGCAAAACCACGCGAAAAACATCAGGATAAAACATTTACATGTTAGCGTTATGTGTGTTATCGAACAGTCAAGTGTGAACGGCCTCACTGTGGCCGCAACACACCGACACTTCTACTCAGTTTCGTTCTACTCATTCCATGTGGATCAAAAGCCCAATGATGACCACCAGTACTTAGCAACGAGCTTCTCACCACACGAACGCTTACTGACTCCTCGCCGCAGATACAACACACCCCTCCGTAAACTTAGACCCTCCCGCTGAGCCCTTTCCATAGAGCACTAGCGAAGTCAGACCCCGCTTCTGCCGCTGCAGTCGAAGCCGGCGCACCACTCACATGTGACTAGGCAGAGTGGCGGCGTGCACCGTCTGGCGGCCGGCGGCGGCGCTGGAGGAGGAGCCCCGCGGCGCGGCGGCCGGCGGCGCCGCGCCGGCCGGCTGGTTCATCGAGGAGTCGCTGGCCGACCGGCTCAGGTTGCTCTCCGGCTCGCTCAGGCTCGATCGCTGCCCGTTCGTGTCCAGCAGGCTGCCGGCGCGGCTCGGGTCAGTCGCGGCGGCAGGGGCGCGACGGCAGCGCGGCTCGGCCGGTCGCGCCTCGGAGCTGGCGACGTGCGGCTCCAAAACCGCAGCAAAACAGCGGGCGTGGGCGGCCGGGGAGTCGTTGTGGGGGCGTGACGATGATTTCAAGACGTGGCAACATCGCTGATAGTCCGAACTTTACCGGGCACCACTTGTGGTTTCACACAGCACCAATACTCAAGAAAACAAATCAGCTAGTTCGTTCAAACCCAGGTCTGACGCGGCTGGCGCGATCGCCAACCGCTGCCATTCCACGGACACTCAGCAGCCACAGATGACATCAGGCCGGACATTGCCGGAAGCCCTTGCGTCACTCCAACGAGTACAGCGCCGGCGGCGCTTCTGGGCATGCCAGTCACGGCCTGTCGCCACCCGCCAAGCAACACACATCACACGGCCCCGAGCCCGCCGCGGTCAGTGCCACCACTCGCGTCGGCGGGCGGGGACGGCACACTCTCTCGCGTGCACCGCCGTCCGAGGAGCCCCGGCGGCCGCCAGCTTACCCCTGGTACTTCTGCAGCTCGCATCTGAGCTTTCCAGCCGCTGGGTGTTCTCCGCAGCTGAGATTCGATCGTCATCGGGTCGCCGAGCGCCGGGTTACCCTCGTACACGCCCTTCATCTTCATCAGACCGTCCCTGTAACACATGGCAGGCGGTTACCATCGTACACGCCCTTCATCTTCATCAGACCGTCCCTGTAACACATGGCAGGCGGGTTACCCTCGTACACGCCCTTCATCTTCATCAGACCGTCCCTGTAACACATGGCCGGCGGGTTACCCTCGTACACGCCCTTCATCTTCATCAGACCGTCCCTGTAACACATGGCAGGCGGGTTACCTCGTACACGCCCTTCATCTCAGGTTACCCTCGTACACGCCCTTCATCTTCATCAGACCGTCCCTGTAACACATGGCCGGCGGGTTACCCTCGTACACGCCCTTCATCTTCATCAGACCGTCCTGTAACACAGGGCAGGCGGGTTACCCTCGTACACGCCCTTCAATCTTCATCACACCGTCCCTGTAACACACGGCAGGCGGGTTACCCTCGTACACGCCCTTCATCTTCATCAGACCGTCCCTGTAACACATGGCCGGCGGGTTACCCTCGTACACGCCCTTCATCTTCATCAGACCGTCCCCTGTACACATGACACCAAAGCCGGGCTACCCTCGTACACGCCCTTCATCTTCATCAGACCGTCCCTGTAACACATGGCAGGCGGGTTACCATCGTACACGCCCTTCATCTTCATCAGACCGTCCCTGTACACATGGCCGGTGGGTTACCCTCGTACACGCCCTTCATCTTCATCAGACCGTCCCTGTAACACATGGCCGGTGGGTTACCCTCGTACACGCCCTTCACCTTCATCAGACCGTCCTTGTAACACGCAACGCCAGATTACGTTCGTACACTCCATCCGCTTTCACCAACACGGTCTGTTAGTCCCATCCCGCATCTCCGTCCTTCTGCCAGGGATTCGCGACCATCCTGCGTCTCCCGCTCCAAAACTATCCGTCAACATTATACCAGACAGCAAAACATGCTTCTAATACGCTGAAGGCCATTCGCCAAGTGAGAAATGACGGCTGCTACTTCAGCATACCCACAGCTTCCAAAGCTGACAAACCTC